CCCGGGCTGGGGCCTGGGCCCCATTCAAACCCACTCCGCCTGGCCTCCCCCACCATCCCCTGAGCTGCAGGCTCTAGCCCCCTGGCCTCTCCCTCCCCAACCTCCAGCCCCCTCCTGGCTCCCGCAGAGAGCTCAGCTCCGGAGAACCGGGCGCCGGAGAACTCAGCCCCGGAGAACTGGGCTCCGGAGAACCGGGCGCCGGAGAACTCAGCCCCGGAGAGCTCAGCTCCGGAGAACCGGGCGCCGGAGAACTCAGCCCCGGAGAGCTCAGCTCCGGAGAGCCGGGCGCCGGAGAACTCAGCCCCGGAGAGCTCAGCTCCGGAGAACCGGGCGCCGGAGAACTCAGCCCCGGAGAGCTCAGCTCCGGAGAACCGGGCGCCGGAGAACTCAGCCCCGGAGAACTGGGCCCCGGAGAACCCGGCTCATGGCCATGTTGGCACTCGTGCTGGCTGTCACAGGGAGGGCTGTGCAAAGCATTTGCCCACAGTAGGATGCCTGTCCTTCCCACCCTGCAGCCCAGGATCAGCCCCGTGTGCCAGGAACCCTCAGCCATCAGCGAGGGGGAGGGAGGGGGGTCTCCATGCTCCACCCCCCAGCTCGTGCTGCTCCTGCGGCCCTTTGCCACCAGTGAGAACTGAAGCCACACAAGCCTGAAACCTGCCCCAGCCTCTCCAGGTCCCTCACCCCATCTGCTGCCTGGCTCTCAGTGCCCCCAGGACGCTCCGCTGGCTGGGGGTTGCCCATGGGGATGTCTGTGGGGAGTGGGGCTGGCTGGGCCTGCAGAGGGGAGCGTGGTGGAACAGCTCTATCGCTGCATGTGTCAGGCAGCTGTTTCTGGGAGGGGGAGCCCCTGACTTTGGGGGCGGGAACTCATGGGGAGACCTGACCAAAACTCAGACAGCGTCAGCGCGGAATGGGGCGGCCCCGGCGCTGCCTCTGGCCTGTGGGGTCCCCGGTCAGCTCCCTGGGGCAGCGCTCTCCGCTGCCAGAGAAACTGCAACGACCCCCTGCTAGCTCTCAACGCCGGCCCCCAGCCCGCCCCATGGAGTAACCCCCAAGGCCACTAGGGGGGAGCCATTGCCCAAGACACCTGGGTGCTGGGAGGCCTCTTGTGACTGGCTGTTCCATAGGCTTTTCCTGCCCCATGGATGTTTGAGCCCCACAGGCCGGTGGGGGGGGGGCAGCGGTGTGGGAACTGGGGGTGCTGCACCCCCCTGCCTGGACGTGGGGCCATCACACCCAGGGTTTACAATTTTGTTCAGTGGTGGCAGCACTCCACGCTACAAACTGTCGCAGCCCCTGGGGGGGCTCCAGGCCCCCAGCTGAGCTGTGAGTGGAGTGGAGGCCAAGCCACTAGGGGCTGCAGCCCTCCTGCCGCCACGGATGGGGGTCGTCCCCCCAGCTCTTGGCAGTAGGGTCCCTAGGTCGGGGTGGGGGGCTGATGGAGCCTGCTGGCTGGTACCACACACGCAGGAAGAGGCTGGTGATGTCGAGTTGCTTATTCAGCTTTATTAGACAGAACACGGCAAAGCCCAAGTGCCCCGGCTGTGTGGGCACCGCCCCGGGCCCCCAGCTAGGCTCTGAGCCCCCCGAGGGGAGCGCTGGGGGGGGGCACCAGGTTGGGGACAGTGTGACTGAAGTGCAGACTTCTGGCCTGAGCACGTGGGGCTGGCCCCACTGCCCCCCTTGGCCCTGTCGCTTGCCATCCTGTGGGGCTGGTGAGAACCCTGGCAACAGCCCAATGGGAGCGACCTCGCCCGGGCTGGGGCCTGGGCCCCATTCAAACCCACTCCGCCTGGCCTCCCCCACCATCCCCTGAGCTGCAGGCTCTAGCCCCCTGGCCTCTCCCTCCCCAACCTCCAGCCCCCTCCTGGCTCCCCCTCCCCCGACATATTTTATTGGCTTCTGGGAGCCACGCAAGGAACCAGCCCCCAGGCCCTTGTTGCCCCACAGACTCACTCTTTACCCTAGAGCCTCCCCCAACTCTACAGCCCCCCCCTGCCTCTTGCACCGCTGAACACCTGGGAGGGCCTGTCCACAGCCTGGGTCCCCGTGGGCAGAGCCCCCCGCCCCCCGCTGTGAGTCCCAGGCCGGTTGCTGCCTGGGCCCTGCCGTCACAGTGGGGGCGTCCGGTGGCTCTCGGTGCGCCAGGGAAGGGCCAGGCTGAGCTGTGGGGGTAGGACGTACGTGGCTCCCCCTGGCGCCCCAAGGCCCCAGCCGGGCGGTGCCACCTCCAGCCGCAGGCGGCAGCTCTGCTCCTGCCGGGGGCACGTCGCGGTCTCAGCCAGACACCAGCGCTTGGGCTGCTGGGGCTGCGTCTCCGGTGTCAGCCCAGCAGCGTTGGGCTTGGGGCTTGGCCGCTGGTGCTCTGACTCCAGCCAGGGGCCAGGGCTGACCCCCTTGGGGCTGCCACCCGGCCCCTCGCCCTGCTGTTGCTCGCACTCCGCCTCGCCCTCGCTGGCATCTCTGTCCCACTTGCTGCGGGGGGCCCAACGCAGACGCTTCTCCTTCCTGAGGCGCCGGCGGGCGTTGGCGAACCACGTGGAGACCTGGGGGAGGCTCATCTTGCTGATGACGGCCAGCATGACCTTCTCGCCCTTGCTGGGGTAGGGGTTCCTCAAGTGCTGGCCCAGCCAGGCCTTCAGGGCGCTGGTGCTCTCCCGGGAGGTGGCCGCCCTGGCTCGGGACAGCTCTGCGGGCAGGCCCTGGCCGAAGCAGGGGGCGCACAGCACGGGGCCGGGCAGGAGCAGGGGCTGGAGGTTGTAAGCAGCCGTCACCTGGAAGGCACAGGACAGGGCGGTGAAGCCCTCGGTGCAGAGGTGGCTGCAGGGCCCTGCCGAGGGTGGGCAGGGAAGGGGCTTGCTGGTGGATTGCCCAAGCCATGAGCTCCCAGCCCTGCCCCAGGGTTCAGTCACACGGGACTGGTACATTTGGTATCTGCTCCCCGAGGGGAGAGCGGGGCTTTTGCTCCGGGCAATCTAGTGTCCTTCCCCCATATCCTGCCGGGGCTCCCAGTTCCTCTCCGCTCTTGTGCTGAGCACACTGGGAAGTGCCCCTCAGCGGCCCCCCTGCCCTCTAGGCTCTGTCCGGGGGGCAGGCTGGGCTCTATGGATACACCCCCAGGCTAACCCACTGCTCGGCTGGGCCTGCTCCAGCGGTGGGGGGGGACAACATGGGACCATCCCAGCCCTGCCAGATCAGAGCTGATCCTGGGGACAGACAGTCTGTGGGGCAGGCCCAGCTCTGCCCCCCACTCCAGAGTACTGAAAGCCACAGGCAGCCCCCTGGGGTTTGCTGGAGGGGGCTCCCAGCACCCACCCCTGCTCCTGAGGCTAGCGCTGTGGCCTCCACCGGAGCCAATGGGGAGGGCAGGACCACAGCTCCTGGGAACTATTGTTTGGGGGGCGGGGGCTCAGCGGGCCCCTACACCAGCTACCCACCCCACAACAGGGAGAGCTGCTACCCCACAGGGAAGGGAGGCAGGCAAGTCCCAGTCTCTGGGGCAGCGCGTACACAGCTGGCTGCAGGGGACCAAGGCGTGAGTAGCAGAGTGAGCAGTGATGCCCGGCTGTAACCACTCGCCTGCAATGCCTCCCCAGTGCCAGGGCTAGACCCCCAGAAATCCTGGTTCCCTGCCCCTGAGCCACCCATTAGCCTCCTCTCCCGTTTGAGCTCAGGGTGGCAGACGCTTTGCCAGTGGGTGCTCGGCCCCTGCCCTCCTCCCAGCCACAATGGGTGCAGCGAACTGCCCGCCCCCCGCTTTTCCCACTGGGTTGGGGGCCACGTGCAGGGCACCCCCTGAGGGGCGGCGACAGCCCCCTGCCCCTCCCCATCACCCCAGGCCTGGTGGCCCGTCACTTACTGGCTGTGCCAGGAGACTCAGGTGCGGTGGCAGCAGGTTGGTGTCCTGTGGTGCCGGGTAGGTGCAGGGCAGCTGCAGGACAGCGTGGTGAGGGGGAGGCGGCAGCCCTGGGGCCCCCCACGCTCCTCTGGGGCCCCCCGGCTTGTTGCCAGCCTGAGCCTCCCCCCACACCAGCTGTGCTGCCGCCATGCTGCTGGGACCAGTGGGAAGGAGCCCAGAGCACGGAGCTTTATAGGGGGCTGGGGGCGGGGAGGGTCCGTGTGGGGCCAGCAGGGTGATTGACAGCTGCTTAGCAAGGACTAGCAGTCTGGTGCCAGCTCCTGTTAAAGCGCCCGCACAGACTGTCTGGGTGGTAAATCCCCCAGCACGGCTGGTTCCCTGCAAGTCCAACATGCCATGGTCATGCCACGACCGCGCTCCCGTGCCGGCCATCCCGGGGGTGACACGTGGCACCAGGCCGGAGGAGCCCCGTGCGTATGGCGATAGTGCCCGGCTGGCACAGTGGGGTTCTGCTGCACCAAGACATGGGGCATAACCGTCCCCAGCCCAGCCCCCATTGGGCGGGAGGGGGGATGGGCTTGGCCTCATGGCCCACGGGGGTGACCAGAGGGCAGCAGTGGTGGGCCTGGGGAGGCAGCGCTGGGGTGGCACACGCCTCAGCCCAGGGCTGGGGCGAGGCTGGAGGAGCTGTTGGTATTGGCACTGGTGCTCCAGGGGGGGCCTGCGGTGAAAGAAGTCAGGCCGCCTGCGGCCTACCGCCCAGCAGGCCCCCCCAGGAAGGGAGGCCCAGCAGTTGCCTGGGCCCTGCCCAGTGTGGGGGCGGGGGCTGGAGCCAGGGCTGCTGTGGGGGCAGGGGAGAGAACCCACCTTGCTGCCTGGCCCCCCCACCCCAGGTGCAGCCATAGCTCTGGGGATCCTCAGGGCAGCGCCCTGGGCTACTTGGCTGCGCTGAGCCCAGCTGCGAGCAGTGAGAGGGGCCCAGGTGAAAGGACCCATCACTGAGCCCTGGGCAGAACCTCCCCAGGCAGGGGGGTGCAGCTGAGCTGGGCTTAGCCCCAGCTGGGCTGCAGGGAGGTGGCAGACGAGCCCTGGAGGGGAGGGCAGGGGCAGGGGGGCCTGGGAAACAGATTCCAAACAGCAGCAGCTGCTCGGCGGTGCCAGGGGAGACCCCAGCAGCAGGGCGAGGTGATGGGTATGGGCGTGTGCACGTCAGCATCGCACCCTGGGGCCACCCGCCCTGCCCCCGAAGGCTCTGGTCGCAGGAATCCCGCTGCCCTCAGCCCCGCCGTTCACTCAGTCCCCGGCGGGAGGGGCCCCTGACCCCGAGGGCCCTTCCGGACTCTGCCCCCCAGGCCGGGGCTGACACAGACGTGGACCCACAGCTGCACGTAGTGATTTATTTCAGCGTCAGGATCCATTAGAAAACAGCAGAGCTGCAGGGGCGTGGTGCTCCCGGGCTGGGCGAGGCGCCTGGCGCTGGCAGACCCGGCAGTAACCGAGCGAGCGCCGTGTCGGTGGAGATGGGAATCACCAGGGCGGGACAGCAGGGGCTGTGGGTCAGGACCGAGGGGCATCCGGGGGGGGTGGGGGTGTGCTGTGTTAATATGAACATTGGGAAACACGGCGCCTCTTGCCCCTGCTCCAGCCGGGCAGATGCTAGCAGGGCCCATCCACTGCCCTCGGGGCAGCCTGAGCCCCTGGCAGTGGGTGGCACTAAGGCCGGGCTGGCAGGGGCCGGGAGCCAGCCCCACTACCGGGAGAACTTGCGCACGGCGCGGTACGAGGCTGGCACGGCGAGGTGCTGCGCCTGCCCCCGCTCCTCCTCCTCCGTCAGGTCCTCGGCAGAGCCCCAGCGCTTCCGGGCCTGGCCGCTGCCCTTGGGCAAGAGCAGACAGGCCAGCGCCCTGTTCCTGCCGCGCACTGCTGGCAGCTCTGGGGGAGAGAGGGCAGGGCAGGGTCAGGGCAGGAGATACGGCCCCCTCCCAGCAGGGCTACAACCCCCAGCCCCCTCCACACACACACCCTGACAGCCCCTGTCCTGTCCCCTGCCCTGAGGCACAGCTGAGCTCAACGGGTGCACATGGTGGCACCGAGCAGGGAGTGCCCAGCCCTTTGCACGGCCCCTCCCCCCAGGCAGCCAGGCTAAGCCCCACCCTCGCTTGTGTGCCCCACCCCCCATGCACACGCTGCTTGCGGCCCCCCTCCATGGACCTGCAGGAAGGGGGGACAGACAGCCAGACAAGGGGCATTTCTCACGGGGCAGCGTGGCGTCTCTGTCCAGCGGCTTCTCTGCTCCCAGGTAGTGTCTGGCCAGGTGCCCACTGTGATCCCGCACGTTCTGCTTGGCACCTGCCGGGACACACGGTTCAGCCCCCCTTGCCGAGCACTGCCCCCCCGGCGGCCTGGCCCCAGGATGGAGAATGCACCAAGACCCCCTCCCCAACACAGGTCACCCAGTGGGGGGGACCCTTGGCTTCAGCCCCGCCCACCCCCCTTCCCACGAGAAGGACCCAGGCCAGGGGGCAGGTCCCTGGGGCAGGGGCTGCTCACCGTAGCTGCGGACGAGCAGGTCCATGACCTGGCGGTGTCCGTGCAGAGCAGCAATGTGTAGTGGGGTGTAGCCCTGGGGGGACACGGAGGCATCAGGACACGAGGGACCGGTGGCATCAGACCCCCGGCCAAGCCCTGGAGGAAGGAAATGGGGCTGCCCAGGAGACTCCCGCCCCCAGCAATCTCCCCACCCGGGGGACATGGGCATCACCCCCTCAGAGCGGCCCCCCAGCCCTGCAAAACGCCCCCTTCCACCTCACAGCCCCCAATGATCTCCCCGCCCCCACCCTTCCCAGTGAGACCCCCCCAGCATCCAGTCCTGCTCCAGCAACAATCACCCGCCCCCGGGCACCAGTGCCCACTGCCTAATCTGTCCTGAGGAGCCTGCTGCGAGGTCCGTCCATCTGTCCGTCCCTGGGCACCTGCATACTCACGCCCTGCTCGGGGGGAGGGAGAGAGCACAGGGTTAGTGCAGAGCTCCAGGACCCACTTCCAGTTAACCCTTCATGCCCTGCACATGCAGTGCCACGCTGCCAATGCAGTGCCACGCTGCCAGCGCAGTGCAGGCTCCAGTGGGGCTCTGGCCGCCACCCCTCCTCTGACATGCCCCATCCCTCCGGAGCTCAGGCCCTCGCCCAGCACAGCCCCCTCCGCCTGGTGTCCTGGCAAGCCCCCGGCAGCCCCCATGCCCCCGGCTCCTCCTGCCCGCACAGCAGCTGGGCAGGAAGACAGCAGGTACTCACGTGCTGGGTCCGAGCATGGGGAGCAGCGTGGGGAGGGGGAGAGGAGAACCCGTTAGAGCCAGGCACATATGGATCACCGCCCCCCCGCTGCTCACAGCCCCCTCAGGGCTCTGCCCCACTTGGCACTCAGCTCCCCAGGCCAGGGACCCCACCCTCCGGGCCCCACTCAGGGAGGTGGGAGGCCATGGGCCTGGGGCTGGCAGAGCCCCTGCTGGGACCTGCTGCCTGGGGCTGGACAGGGCCCCGAGCCCCCCGCCCGCCCGCCTCCCCATGCCCGCCGGGAACTCACCGAGCGCGTGTTCACATCGGCTCCTGCAGCCACCAGCAGCGAGACCAAGTCCTCCTTGCCGTGCTTGGCCGCCCAGTGCAGCGCTGTCTGCGGGGAGAGGCAGGGCTGGGCTCAGACCCCCTGCTGCCCCCCAGCCTCGCCCATCCCCTGAGAGAGTCCTTCTCCCCCCCGTGTGGGCTCAGACCCCCTGCTGCCCCC